ATGCTTATGAGGTGAAACTATTTAGGGCCGCTTACTCACTTGCATTCTTTGGATTTTTAAGAGTTGGTGAATTAACATTGTCAAAAGGAAATACGGTTACAAGTATCATTCAAAAATCTGATGTTAAAATTGAGCCAGACAGAAGTAAAATGTATTTGACAATACGGTATTCAAAAAATGATCAATGTGGAAAAGGGGTTACCCTTTGTATTCAGTCAGTCAATAGTATTGTAAGGACCTGTCAGATGTCTATAATTTAACTTGTGTACTGTGTAATAGTTATTGGGTTTTCATTTCAAGAAAATTGTAATGATATTCCACGTGTGTCAAAAGTTGTGACAACATTGGCTTAGAATGTTATAATTTTTGTAAAATTTGATATAAATGTCATGATTGTTTAATTACCTTTCATCTTAAATCTGCATGTATTTCTTGAGTTAACTGTCATTATCTTAGCAGTTCTACATGTGTGGATAAGCTGTAATACTTTGAATTATCCGCTGCCATGCCACTTGTTTACATTCTGTCTGCCATCTTTATATCGGCGCATGCTATGCACATAGTTTCGTATTTTACCAAACTTGTTATTTTTATGTCACAGGCATAAATTACTTGCTATTTATTATGTTAATTAATATTGTGGGTTCTACTATTCATTTTAGCCATTATATTCCTGATTACATGTGTAAGACATCTAAAAGCTATATGTGTTAAAATGCATTTTGTACTGATATGTGTGCATTAATTATAAGATTACTTATGTGAAATTTACTAGTTTCAGAGATAAATTGTTTACTTACTTATTATAGACACATCTCTTGTTATCCATATTTATTGATTATTTTGTCTTTTCACATTTTAATTCCGTTTTGTAGTTATTATATTCATTGTACGGCAGCCTTGTTTGGCACTGCTTGTACAGATCTGTGATGAGGATAAGAAATAGTGCCGTGATTTTGGAACGTCGCCGTACAGCATTTAATATATGGTTGACATATAAGCATGTGACCCTTTTGAATATATATATATATCATTATGTAAACAGATAATTTGCCGAGTTGTCAGGCGCGTACATGACAAAGAGATCAAACATCCAATTCGTGATAATTTATTTATCATTATATAGCATTACCATTTGATTTCAGGCATGGGAATCAAATACGACAATAATAAATATAACACACTGGACACCTATTATAATTGTTAAAACTATTGATGACGATGAAAATTGCTGCATGATATTCTCCGATTCTCTCTAAAGCATTTGATCGTGTATGACAAAGGGTATCTTGTTTAAACTCTATTGAAAACAAATTCTGATCTTAAAGCTAGAAAATTGATTGGAAGAATGGCTTCTTAAATTCAATCCTTCCAAAACTAAAGCAATATTGTTCAGCTTGAGAAGAAGACAATTAGTGTTAATTTTCCTAAACTCTCCTTCCAGCAAAGTCAGCTAGAATTTATTTCTTCGCATAAACATTTAGGGCTTTATTTCTCACACGATCTTTGTTGATCTATACATATTGATGCTGATTTAGCCAATACATATTGAAAAACTGGGCTTAATAATAAAACGAATTTTGTAGTCAATCGAAAAACTCTTTTAATTAATATGTGTACAACCTTCATCAAACCGTAATTTATAATAAGAAATAGTTCCTGATCATGAATATCCGACTGATATAATCCCAAATTTGCGCTGTGATTCATTAAATTATAGAGTACGAGAAATTCATTCAATGTAACTGTATTACACCCAAATGCAGATTACAAGCCTAGAAGTCAACACTTCCCAAATGAAAAAAAGGGGGAAACAAAATACTGTAACAAACTACTTACAAAACACATGTTTTGAAAGTATTCCGATAGTATAGCAAATCACATGCAAATGAGCTAACAAAACACTATAACAAACTATAACAAAACACTTTCACAAATTAACAATATACTTTAACAAACTAATGTATGAAACACTGTAACAAACCACTAACAAAACACTTTAACAAAGATACTTGGAAACACTCTAACAAGCTACTAACAAAACACTTTAACAATATATTGAAACACTCTAACAAACTACTAACAAATCATAAGCAACAAATCATCAATAAACACAAATTTGAATTTTTAAAATTATAATTAGCAAATTCACATTTTAGTCTTTGAAAACATCTAAACACAATCTCATTTTGAAACATTATAAACACCTTGTTTCACAGTATTTTGAATTCCAGGATTGACATTATTCTTCAATAGGCAATAGCACACCATTCCAACATTTAAAAACTTGAGAGATATTCTTAAGCCATTGGCCACTTCTCCAATCACATACATTTTCACAGAATTTTCAAGTATAATTATAATTCATCATTTAATCCAGTGCTTAAAACTGATATAAGCTGGGTGGTATATGGATTAAAGGTCAATCTTAACATGAACAAAACCCCAATAAAAACAGGCCATATATGTACACATCCACATTAGATGAAGGTTACTGTAGTCCAGCATAAAAGAACTTTATGTCATGCAATAAATAAATACCTCTGTTATATCCAGATACATCCTGATTATTTTTTCCAATCAGGGATCAATATACATGTATATACTTTACATGTCCCTTCATCATCTCTATGTTTCTCTCTGACCTAGTGCTGGTGGTTTGAAAATTGGCGCAAAACTAGTAACACAGGATGAAAATAGATAAGTTGTTCTTGGAATATTTTACTGCACCTAGATAATTCAACCCTAAACATGTCTGCATGTTAATCAAATGAAATGCTAACAAAGTATTACTTTGATGCAGACAAGTATAATGAAACACTTTCAAATGCAATTTCATTCTGCAGAGTGTAAAGAAACATTAATAAAACACCAACAATGTAATGAAACATTAACAAAATACCATGAACTGCCATGCTGTAAAGTCTTGCATTGATGTTTCATTAAATGCAACACTTTCAAAACATACTAAGAAAATATAAAAGTATGATTTGTTAGTGTTTTGAAGATATTTTGCAAGTATTTTGTTAGATTTCTTTTTCATTTGGGTTATCCCCATTGTTATTGATGAATGTAACTAATTATCTCTTACTGTAAGGAATTCATCATCATTATATTGATTATTGTCTATTTCTTACAATATATAAATGCCAATTTCAGTTACAAAATTTTACGCTTGAACATATTGCATACAAGGCTTTGACACAAATGTGTGATTTTAAAACAGCGATCTTTTCCGATGTAACGTAATTTTTAAGTCTTCTATTATCTTGTAGAAATGTAGAGGATACTCCATTATTTCTTTTCACGCTTTCTTTCAATCATTCAAATGCTACTTTTAAAAACTATAAAAACATTATAACTATATAACAAAAATATCATTTGATTTTGATTTAACCATAATATTTGAAAAATAAAATGAATTATTCTACATTCTATTGTATTTTCACACACAGGAACAATAAAAAAAAACCTTGTTAAAAGCCGTATGTACAAAAATGGTGTTCCCCGAAATTATCGCGAATTTTGTTTATTATACAGCTCAACAAACTTTTTAAACTCACATGGTTTTTCACACAAATTAAGGTCACATTTTTATGATATGATATTGTTTAAATAGACAACAAAATACATTTTAAAAGTATTTGTTTACATAATTTGAGTTTTATTTCATTTTAAACATAATGCTCACAGAGCAATTGGTAGAACTTTGATGTATTCATGGCTGAAAAATGACAACTATTCTTATTTGAATTTTTGTAGTTTCTTGCCAATTGTAATTGACTTCTTATCCGTTCTTTTGAAAGCAATAGCTCTTGGTAGAAACATAGACATGGGTACAGTACAGCTACTGTAGCTTGTATTTTCTGCACATTTTGACACTTTAACTCGGGATGGTAATACTATTTTTCATCTGTTTGACTGCTTTCTAAGTAAATAAGGTGGGATTTTAAAAAGTCAACTTCTAAAATCTAAAATCATAAAAGATCCCACTGCAAAATTTTAACGTTTCAAACCGTAAATGCAGAAGAATTTTCCTTTTCATAGAAAGAATTGTCTATTCAAAAAAATAAACAATACTCTATTATCCTACCCTTTAGTGTGGTTTCCTTTTGCAGTATTATCGCTTTTCGGCGCTACTTTTCGACGAAACCAAGAGGAGTATGGTAAATGAGCAAAGATTTTTAAAAAATACTCACCTTTCAGAAGAAAATCTAAAAATTTCAACTACAGGGGATCAAGGAAAGCTCGTTTTATACAATTTGTAAAAACCTATGGAAGAATCGTATAGTCGAAACATCCTACCATTTATTTATAAATTTTCCTTTAAAACAATTACCTTGGATAACAAAAATAATAATTTTGACATTTTGCTTAACATTATATATGTAATATAACGAAGGGTTATGCCATTATACTGTAGTTCCAAAATGGTAATTTTTATTACAACAATGTGACCTTAATTTGTGCGAAAAACCATGTGAGCTTAAAAAGCTTGTTGAGCTGTATATTAATCAAAGTCACATTTTTAAAAATAAAGATTGCATAATTGATTGTACACTATGTATAGTACGTTTTGCTTTGTATTATTTGTGTTTAAGTATACATATAACTGTTTGATTATTGTGTCATAGTATGTTTTGCATTGTCTTATTTGTATTACTAGTATTTAACATATACATTTGACTTGTTTGATTATTCTGTCATTTGTTTTAAATTCTAATCTTTTACTGAATGATATGTAACATGATGTAATAAACATTTTTGTTTGACTTTTTATGGTAATAAATATATTTTTAAAAATATTAAGACGAGTATAAGAAAACACATAATTTGTTTCGTAAAGCGAGTTAAATCATACAGCTTATCACAGGGGTATCACTACTAGGTAAAATTAAACGACAGCATTCGAGTTTTTAGTGGGCAGTATATTGACCATCAAATTTAATAGTTACGAACTTCTGGCTAAAAGTATGACATAAAAAAGAGAGACGCAGTCATAAGTTTCACTATAATAGTATTCATTTATTTTGTTTACAATGTGATCAAAATTACATGCACACGCAAGAATCAATGAAAATTCAATCAAAAACGTTGAAGATTCAAACACGACCAACAAATAAAGAAAAAAATATACAATGTCATAAAGGCACATCAATAAATATTTGTCATTAGAAATTCCGATAAATTAGAAACTATTGACAATTTCAACAATAAAAACAGTTTCGAAAACAAATCAATATCCATCTCAACAGTCGAGTATTTCAGTGACCTAAACAAAGGAAAGAAATGCATGTATATTTTAAAAGAATTTTTTTTTTTTTCGTAAGGAAAATATATACCAAAAGCAAAATATAGGTCTTGTTATATCTTTCAATACATCCAATGTTAATGGATGTAAGAAGAAGGTACGGTTTTAGCTTTATAGCATCCTAAAAATGCAATGTCATCACAAAGTTTTGAAAATGTCTTAAATATTAGTCAAGTATAGATTTAATATGACTGTGATAGACCAGGAACGAATATGGCATGAAAGTTCATCGTTCTACAAATATGACGTCATTAATGTTATGTATTTCTCTATTCTGAACAGAAAAAGCCTAAAAATATCCCATTTCAAGGCTAATTTTCCTTTAGAAAAAAGTGTCCACAGCCGTCGCCCACGTTAATATTTTGATATGTTGTGCAAAAGTCGATAAAATAAAAAAAATCACATATCTCAAAATCTTTGTGGATGATGTCTGTGGACAATATTATCTGAAAGAAAATTCCTTTGAAAATTGCTGCCCTCTGCAACTGTTTTAAAAAATACGGGGAAATGCACATGTTTATGACAGCACAAGTAGCATTTAAAAGCACAAGTGCGAAAAATGATTGGTATGATTTTTCTGCATTGAATTTCAATTATTCAGAAAACATGAGTTTCCATCTTTTACACCAGTTTTATTTTTGAAAACCACAGGGCAATTTTTTTTATGGAAATCATACCTTGTTCTTTGTCGAAATATGTAGATTTTTTTATATTCACATTTGAACACTCACCACATCTGTTTCATGAAGACTGTTTGTTATTGACGACTTCATCATAGCTGGGAGGGGATGCTGAGATGTTGTTTGGTAAATGATCTAGTGATTGTGAGGAAACTTGGTGTGGTGATTCACTATTGGCGGTTAACTGATTAGAGTGCGATGGATGAGGATATGAAAGCTGATATACTCTGGGAACTACAAAAAGGAGGGTATATATAATTACAGTTAAATAAAAAAAAATAAATGCGATCAGATTGTTTCTTCAATTTTATTACTTGCCTTCATTTGAAGGTGTCCGGTTCAATACTTGCCCTTCTGAGGAATTCTTTCTCAAACGATAGCGATAACATGCTAAACAAAGAAATAGTTGAAAAAAGGATCCAAATACTCCGCCAATTATAGTACCCAAGGCATTTTTGTCTTCGTCTTTTGAAGCTGTTTTAAAGTTCATGAGTAATAGTATTAATTTTACATATAAAATATGTCCTTTGATAAAATGGATGTTAAAGTCAAAACAATTCAACCAAAAAATACTTGTTTTTACTTTTGATTAAATATAAGAAGATATCTTACCATAGAATTTAACTTTTTCAACAGTGAGAAGAAATTTAAATTTTGAGCTTGAAGAGTCTTTCCCGGAGAGTTTTACAAAGAATATATGAAGATCTCGTCCGGCAGATGCACAGAATTTGGTTCCATTATTTTTGGTACAACTAAGAGTCTAAAAGAAAAAAAGAAAAACTCTCAGCATTCCGTGAAAGTTTTATAGGGTACATAGAGGATAGTCTATGTGTAAGAATATAGAATTTATTTAACGAGTAGGACATTTTAATATTTTCATGAGTGCAAAGCACTGTCTCACGAGTGATATAAATTCCATATTCAAATTCAAAACATAGGTTTTTCTTTTAATAACATTTTCTTTGATTTTCTCTTTGCCTAAATCTTTTTATAATACCGTGTCAATTAGCCTATATATGACACCATAGTTGAACAGTTTGGATGTCATAGCTAAGTGATGTGAGATTCAAACATTGTAAACATGGATTTTAACACCATATCTGGAGGTTCTTCGGCAGTTTGTAGTCTAGTATCATAATAGTCTATTCACACACACACACCCTTACCCTCTCTCACCCCTCTCTCATCAAAGTTAACCTGAATGATTTCTCTATAATAATCTATATCTATTTTGGAATGCTTCATTCAAAATGATTTTAATTAACTATTTTTTTAAAATGTATAAATCAAGTGCAACAGCATAACGCTTCAATAATTATGCATTTGAGACTTTATTCTGTTGGTTTTTTTTTCAAAGATGCAAGTATAATCATACAAATGGAAAGCTCTAAATCTGCACTTTGCAATGCAACTAAAGACATTTAGATTAATTGTAACTTAAAAGAGTTATGTCTGTATAACATCATTCGTGTGGTAATGGGCACCTGATCTTAGACAAGCCGACCAGCGAGTATGATACATCTTTTTCATATTTTGAATAATGACATAGAAGATGTTGATACTCTAAGCTTCCCAACAGATAGCCATGAATGTGATGATTTTTTGAATTTTGAGATTAGTGAGGAAGAAATCTTATGTGCAGTTAAAAAATTGAAAAATGATAAGGCCACAGGCTACGACCAGTTGTTAAACGAACATATTTCATCAACAATAGCTATATTTTTGTCTGTACAGTGTATATAAGAAATTGTTTAATTTGATTTTTGATAGTGGAATCATTTCAGACGAATGGCTCACGGGTATTGTCAAACCGATTTTAAAAACAAAGGTGACCCAACAAATCCAGAAAATTATCGTCCAACAACATTTTTAAGTTGCCTTGGTAAGCTTTTTACCTCCATTTTATGTAAACGCTTGGAAAGTTATGTAGAGAACTTTAATCTTATAAGCGAAAGTCAAACTGGCTTTCGGAAAGGTTATTCTACCTTGAATAATATACTTAGTTTACATTTTCTTATAAACATGGTGATGTCTCTCAAAAAGAAACTTTTTTGTGTTTTTATTGATTTCAAACAGGCATTCGATACTGTGTGGAGAAATGGGCTTTGGTACAAACTTTTGAATAATGGCATTAGCGGTAATTGTTTTACTTTAAAAAAAAAAAAACATGTATAATGGAGTCAAGTTCCTTGTGACTATAAATGGTCTTTCATCTGAATTTTACAATTGTAACATTGGTGTCCGCCAAGGAGAAAATTTATCACCTCTCCTGTTTTCTATGTATATTAACGATTTAGAAGAGTTTCTCGCCAGCAAAAATGTGCATGGGCTATCTTTTAATAATGTAAGCAGCTCAAACTCTGAAGAAAATGAAATGTTGCTGTATTTTAAATTATTTATTCTGTTCTATGCTGACGATACAGTTATAATGTCTGAGTATGCAGAGGGTTTACAACATGCTCTAAATAAGTTTCATTCGTATTGTGTACAATGAAAACTGAACGTCAATGTAGATAAAACAAAAATTATGATTTTTTCGAAAGGTCCATCTGTTAAAAATGTATTTTACTACAATAATTCTGTTATTGAAACTGTGAACGAATTTAAATACCTAGGTATACTCTTTTCACGATCAGGTTCATTCTGTAAAACTAAAAAACATTTATGTGAGCAAGCTCAAAAAGCCATGTATGGAATTATACGAAAAATTAGACAATTTAATTTACCAGCAGATTGCCAGCTTGATTTGTTCGATAAAGTTGTCACTCCAGTACTTCTGTGTGGATGTGAAATATGGGGTTTTGAGAACATTGAAATAATTGAGCGCGTTCATCTTAAATTTTTGAAATATATTTTTAATCTAAAAAGTAGTACTCCTAGTTATATGGTTTACGGCGAAACGGGTCGCTTCCCTTTATATATAACAGTGTGTTCAAGAATGATTTCCTATTGGGCAAAATTATTGGTAAGCCCTGAAAACAAGATTGTTTATGTTACATACAGACATTTATTTGAACAGTTTTGTTCAGGAAGTCATAAGAACCCTTGGATTTTATGTATTAAGAATATACTTGATAGTTGTGGCTTCTCAAATGTATGGAATGAACAGACCTTTTTAAATATTAAATGGCTAAAAGCTATAGTTGAACAACGTCTTAAAGATCAGTACATACAGAAGTGGCGAAGTAATATGCGCGATTCGTCTAAAGGTCTCATTTATAGTATTTTCAAAACAGAATTTGGATTTGAAAAATATTTAGCCTTACTACCAAAAAAATTTAGAACAATTTTAATTAAACTAAGAACAGCAAATCATCGTCTTCCAGTTGAGACTGGGAGATGGCTTGAAATTCCCAAAAATGATAGACTATGTAATCTTTGTAATAATGGACAAATAGATGATGAGTATCACTACATTTTAGAATGTAAATATTTTTCCGAATGTAGAAAAAAATATCTTCCTAGTAAATATTGTAATAGACCAATTTTTTTTCAAATTCTCAGATTTGTTGTCATCTGCTGACTACAAAATATTAATTAAACTATGCAGTTACATAAATAGAGTATATGAAAAAGTCTGTCCTCCATAATTATTTATGTTACTTTATACGAATGTATTTCCGCCATTTCACGTGTATCTTGTATTTTATTTTTTGTATATATTGTACATATATTGTTGAACCTCATGTACCATTGATATGGTTTGAGTGAATAAATTGAACTTGAACTTGACGATTTACTGACTTTTGACAAACTGAAGGCAATTTAAAATATAAAGACAAACAATTCTTAGGGCCAAATGATAACTAAATTGTTGGATAAGGAGATGATAAGCTTCTCAAATGTCAAATTTTCTTACTATAATTAGTAATAATATACCGGTATTACCTTCACGTGGTGTTTATATCGCATTTGATTCTCAGTACGATCGATTTGTAAACCGAGGCAGGCCACTACAGATAAGTTAGTGCTTTGGGCATTTCAACAATATACACCGTAGTTAAACGTTGACAATTCGTTAATTCTATGGTCGTTATAACAATCTTGTTGACATATGTAACCCATTACAACTGGGTCGAGTTTGGCATACGTTTGTGAACATGAAAGTTTGGTTACAGAAAACTTTTTGAGACCGATCGACACCTTTTTTATTTTGTTAAGTTTTCTCTTGTTTTTTAAGACACAATATATATAAATTGAACAGTATTTTTTGTACAAACTGAACAAAAAATTTATTTACTAACCTGAAGCTTAGTAGCTATGAATGCATATTCAAAGCTTAATTCAATAGCACAATTTCCGCCGATGAAATATACTGGTCGAACGCAAATTGCATACAATTCCGAATCAGCCTCTCTTCCAATTCTCAATGAAAAATGATTTGAACATGAAATTTCTTCTCCATTGTAAGTTACATAAACTGGACGATCCTCGTTCACGTTTTCAAGACGTACATTGCAGTCTCTTCCAAATTCATCTTAAAAGAAAACATTAAAAAAAACATCATTGAATAGAGTAACTGTTGAATATTTCAAAATTGATGGAACATCGTATAGACTTACGACTAATGTTTTACTACATAGACATAAAATTTGATAAAATTGATCGAAATCTGGTTCGATTTTTCGTCTAAACTTGATTTAAGAAAAAAACTAATTAATGAGAAAAAGTGGATTTTACGATTGTTGTCCGAAAAAGTCGTAGACAATGCTTATAATTTTGTAAACATGCAACCAATAGAAACCAAATTTTGCATTGACATAATACATTCAGCGTTCCTTTAAATTGTGAATTCTGAAATATATATCTCTCATATTAATAAAATTATGACGATTTATATAGAGGTCGATATGGTCTGTCGGCGCATAAACAAAATATGGAATAATTTGTGAATATAAGTATTAATTACATTTGCTTTTATTTCATTCAAACTATGTAAGAAATCAAAGTCAAATTCAATTCAGTGAAAGTGTAATCACAATCGTGATAACATATCAAATTACCATCAGAAATAGACGATTGGTGTCTTGATTTTTCAAAGTAATGTTGGAATTGAATTGAAAATGACGTCGTCAATCGCCTAACCGGTGTACAGGGATGTAATAAATTGTTTTTAATATGGTTTATATGCATCAGAGACGAATAAAAAGAGTAAAGAAGTGACATTACACACTATTCTAATAAAAAGGTTGTTTGTAAATGCTATGAGATCCAATGATAATTTCACCTCCAAACCAAAAATAGTTACGCCTATAAACTTTAGAGTACCTCTTTGTTAAACGCAGACAGTAGGGAACGTTATTGGACACGATTAATGTCAAGCATTGTGTATCCTCTGCTGCCTACAATGTAAGGTGATCCTTCGACCTAATTCCGACCGAATGTTTAATCAATTAAAAAATATGGACAGAAAGTGAATTTGAATACCAGTAAGCCTTCATCAAAAATAGCTTTTCGCTTTTAGAAATATAATGATTATTTACAGACGCAGGTTAAGCAGAAAAAGGGATTATGACGTTATATTTACATCCACTGAATATTTTCTTCTTTATTTCTTAAGAAACCCATTACGTTAATCACTGCATGAACTACATTAGGCATGTCGCCTGTTCAGATTTCTTGATCAGTGGCTGTTCCATTAATGAAACGTATGAAGACGTTCGCATCATTAATACAATAAATAATCTTCTTAATCCTACTTAAAATGATTATTTAAACAGATATAAATATAAACAATAAAATGTCTTTCTTTGTTTGTTATTACTGGAATAAACGGTCGCAGCTATTGCAGAGAAAATTTACATAACCCGCGTAAGGGTTATGTATTTTTTCTGCAACAGCTGCTTCCGTTAATCCCAATAATAACAAACAAAGAAAGACATTTTATTGTTTAAATAGCAGAACGCTTGCTTTCGTGTGCCGATGTACACTTTTATACTTTCTTTATGTTTATATAATTTTCTTGTTAAATGTGATATCATCATGAAGCTTTAAATACATGAGCAAAAAATATTGCTTCTTACTATGACAAAAAATGAAATTTAATTTACTGAGAGAAATTAAACTGTTTACCCTGTCTACGACTTTTTGGGACAACCCTCTTATATTACCAAATATTATCATCTTGACACAATTTTCAACAAGTCAACAAAAAATATCGAAAAGTTGAATGAATTGAAATGAATTTCATTGACATTCCCTTTTATTTCTTTGATATTTCTTGTGGATTTTCCCAAGGAATTTGTATAATTGTCATTTATTATTAAATAGATCTTGATTCTCAAAAGTAAATCACATTGCAAAGGTAAAAAATCACATCAGAAAAACAATATCAGAATATAAAACAAAAATCGAATACTGTGTTTCGGTCAACGTTATCTATTTGAGGCTAAAAAAAATTATTAAAAAAAGAAAGAAAACTGAAAGAATGTACGAATAGCAAGAAAACTCACAGGTTATATTAGTTATCATTGCAAATACTTTGGCAATAGATACAATTAAAATGAATACACATCTGCTCATATATCCTGAAGGAGCCATTCTTCAGCTCATCTGCAAAATAAAAATTGTATCAGGAGTGAAATGCAATATCATATTATTCAATCATATAAAACATGCACAAGAAGATAGCTATATAAATGGTGAAGCAATCCATATGTATGCAGTATGTAGTATGGAGGATGATCAATTCGAAAGTTTTTAATTTGAACCATACTGTACTCATATCTGAACAGAAAAAAATGTAATAATTGTTTATCCCAAGGAGAAGGGAAGCAGATTTTAACATATTTGTTTCGAGACTCAACATTTTATGTTTATATCGAAATGTCCTTGACACTATAGACTCATTCAAAATAATTATATTTTATTCAAAGTTATTCAAGGTATTCAAATGTCCTTAGTTTTAAACCTTATATCAGTTGCTTGAAATTTGAATTCATTTCGAATTTCTATTTCACTTCTAACTGCTTTCCGTATGAATTCATTTAATCTAATTATGTTCATGATTAATGTGAGAAATATGCACTAATTAACACAAAATTCATCACACCATTTATGTTGATAATGAATCATATAAAAATAAATGACACAACGCCTATAGGCAGAGATAACTTTTTTTTCGTCATTGAACCGAATATCTTTTCTAATCTCTAAAAAGAATTATCGGAATATTTTTCTTTTGCTTTATTTATATCTAGATGTATTCATTTCCTGTTTAATGCAATAGTCTGGCATGTGAATGAGGTAACACTTTTCATAATTTTCCTAAACCTGTTAAAAGATTAAATAATTGTTAATCCCTTTTTAATCAGGTTTTTTTCATTAATTACACATATTAAGATAATATTTGACGTTTATATGCTTATCTTAGGTTTGAAAATTGACAGTAATAACATGAAATAAGTAATGTTCAGAAATATAGCCTTACCTCAAGACTTGTTGTGATGGAAATGCACATGCATTCAACTGTGAAGGCAAACTATATGGATAACTGTTCCGATCAACAAAACTTTTAAACCGTTAGTACTAGGGCTTTCAGATAGTTGAATCGACACTTTTCAAAAGTTATTTCCCTGAGTCGCCATCTTTGGAGAAATCCCCATAGAATCCTCACAGTAGCCTTTATAGTTTTCTGGTTTAAAACTTTGACATCTGACAGGAAAAATTCTGTGCATCTTGTAGAATAAATGCCCCAAGATGGGGCTACTCATATATCGAAATAAAAAAGAAAATAACCACAGGGGACTTACAGAAAAACGTCCAAATGTTAAGTAGCATAAAGAGGAGAAATATCATTCCTTTTCCTTTTGACCTTTTGGTTGACCCCGCAAAGGGATATTACTATTGAAAAGTGCGGACTGGACTATTTTACAGTTCTTGTGACAAGTCCTTCCTTTGGATTCCAACAATTTTGACCTTGGCGTTGGAATCTGACTTGCATTCTTCTCCATACGTTAACAAGCAATGCCATTGTCATTATCACATGATCCCACTTCTAATGTTTCGGAGATCCATGTTTGCACTGCTCCTATTTCGTATTGTTTATTGGACATTTGAGCTTGAATACTGCTCGCATTCTCCATATATTTCATGCAGCTTTTTGTCTGGATAGCTGTGTTTTTGGATACTACATATTTGCTTAAATGTGTAATTCTACGTATACCAAGTTATGAATGCTTGCAGCAAGGGAAATGAACACCACAATATACCTAGATCACTATTTTTACGAAAGACACAGTGCCTCATGCCACATGTATATACGTACATGTATATGTGCATAATTTTTTTTTAAAAAAAGTCACACCTTTTACAGTTTCGTCCAAAACTTAATAAAAAAAGGTATTACAAAGGAAACAGACTGACAGACGCCAGGTAAAGTAAATTAAATCTTTAGGTATCAAACTGCTCTGCATGCGAAATAAAAGTAACTGAAGCAAACCTGACCTTTGACAAACTTTTCATACATTGTGGCATCTAGCTCAAGAAAGTACGCGGCATTTAAAAAAGTAAGTGAAACAATGAGACCATAGAAGCATTAAAGTTTTCTTTATTGGACATAGGAAAGTTTAAGTATTTCTGGCCAGTACTGATGAGAAGACAATATGAGGAGTCATATGAGCATGGACGATTACTCCAGGACAGTAGGGATGCTGGAAACTGGCAAAACGCAACGTAACGTTACAGAAAGACTTGCTTCCCAAAGCGAAATTATCCGTTTATGGAACTGATATTTAAATGAAATTCAGGATGTCCAAGTATATGACAGTCCATGAGGACCGTTATTAGGCCAATATGCAAAGAAACACTTTTAAAAGTGCTCTTAAGCTCAATACTGAGCTTCAGAGAGCAATAGGAAGACGAATTTCTACTCCGAGAGTACAAAACAGGCTTCATGAAGCAATCTCAAGGCAAACAAACCAGTCGTACGTCCTGTATTTGAATTAAAGCATCGCAGAAATCAACAACAGTGGGCAACAGAATACAGAAATTGGCAAAAGCATCATTGGCTTTCTTTTCTCTACTCTGTCAAGTTGACATTTTGTTTTTGACCTTATGTTGGCAGACGAATTGTCTACAGAGCAATTTAGGGGAAATCTATGCCGGTTGTTTCATTTCTGAGTATTGTAGATTAAATGAAGGTTAGGTGATGATTTTGGCAGGCATAAGTCTTAAATGCAAAATTGATCTGTACATTATTAAAGTCTACTTGACAAGTTTTAAATACCAGGATAATATCCATTATCCTATTGTTAGACCTTTTGCAGATACTGAGGGGGAGGGTTTCATCTTAACAGACGATAATGCTGGAAGTCATAGACTCTGAATTGCAAAAGAGTACTTGGAAAGTAAGTAACTAGGTAGTTCTCCAGACCTGAACCCAATTTTACATGTATTGGACATTTTTTGCAACGCTTTGCAGGTCGTTTATAACACTTCCCAAAATCGACGGGACCTTCAAATGTGCTGCTGGAGGAATGGCAACAGATCCCTTAGGCTAGTCTTGTATGGCTGTGGGCAGCATGGGTCGGTGTTCTTAGGTTGTAATTGCCTCTCGGGGATGTATCATACAAAGTACTGGCAATCATTTTACTGACTTGATTTGACTCTTCTGAAAAATTATATTTTCAGGTCTATACTCGAACTTTGAATATAAGGTATAATACTTAAACTAAAACTGCGTACTGTTTTCTATAATCATGTATTTGATAAACATTTTTAAATTGATGACATAACATTTTTGGTCGAATATAGTATAACATAAACAAGTCTGATAAAGAATTTAATAACAATTAAAAAGAATACAATACATGAATACATGTACATTCAAAAAATCCCAGAACCAACAAACAACAAGTTAGATACTACAAAACCTGGCAATATTGTGAAATTCCAGTAAATCAAAAGTTAAATAAATTTAACAAAATACAATTTATGTTAACTACATAAATGTTTCCTTTAAATAAAAAAGGAGGATTCACAATAAAAATTACCCTTTTGAAATATTTTTTTATACCGGTATATGTTTTACACACGGAAGTATTTTTTGTTATAATTTTTCTAAATGTTTTTATGAAGAAGCCAAGAGGAACTTTTTAAGATATTCACTTTACATGAACATTATTGTATCACAAAAAGTCCTAGACATGAACAACTTTGCTTCGCTTTAAATATATTCTTGAATCTGCTCATGAAATGTTCATGAAGATCCTGTGAAATTAATATTGGACCCTCTTGATTTCGTTAAAGGTTAGAATCGTTATAGCCATTGAGATAACAATAATGTTTGAAGTCATGGAAAGCGTCAGTTCTAAATAAGAAAGTTCGTTGTGTTTTCCAAAAATAGAAAACAATAAAAAAAACCGATCATTTTCAGGTACTAGTATCTACTGTTAAATGACAATTTATAAAACAAAATGTGTGCCATGTACCTTACAATGCGCTAAAGGATAAAGGTTGCAGCACAGGTGTGTTCACACAACAGTGTTAACATTGGAGTAAATGAAAACATTCAGATAATAGTATAGACAGAAAGAAAGGGACCATTCATCAAAATATTCAAATGATAAGAAATTAAAGAAAAATCAATAAACTCACACTTGCATACTTTTTGGACATGCATTTCATCGAAATTTAAATATGAAATTCAAAAAAAGGGAAAAAAAAAAAACATAGTTTAATAGAAAAGCTATTTATATGCTACTTCATCATAGCTAGGGGGCGGGGCTGAGGGCGATTTATCCGGTTCATGCCATCTGCTGGTTTCTGAGGACTGATTTGGAGTTTCTGTATTGTACTGTGGCTGTGGGTTATATTGAGGTTGTGTGTTGTACTCTGGTTGAGTGTTGTACTGAGGTTGTGTGTTGTACTCTGTTTGTGTGTTGTATTGTGGTTGTGAATTGTACTGTGTTTGTGTGTTGTACTGAGGCGTATACTGTGTTGCATAATTGCCTGGCGGATACACGGTGGTGTTACCACTTGGATTTTGTGCATTATATGATGGATAATGGTAAGTTGATTGGTTTACCATAGGCACTACAAAAAAGAAAAAAATCCTTTTAAAAAGAGAATTTTTTTCTATTTTTCTAACGAGCTACCATAACAGATTTATTGACCATGCTCTTTGACCACTGAACATTACAATATATTTCATTGACAAAGAAAAACATTAACCTTTCACTAAAGATTAAAAGCAAAAGAAAAAAAAAAGATTTGATAATTGAGCACAATACAAACTAATATATGTCTGAACTAAGTTTGATTTTTTGGGCGCGTGATATATATTTTCTTTAAAAGGATTAATTAATTGTACAATGACTTAAATTTCGTTTTTATAATAGTAAATACACACATCTACGTTTTAACATTAAATGTTATGAATAAAATCCTTAGAGATATATTTTTGTGATAGACTAAAGCTCGTTGCACTTACCTGCATTTTCCTGAGTTGGTACTAAAACCTGGCCTTGCGATGACTTTCGCTTGCACGCACACCAGCAGCAACAACCAATCAAAAGTCCAATGAAAACACAACCCCCCACAATACCTCCTACGATAGCTCCGACGAGATTCTTCTTATTTTTTTTATCTATTGTAAAGCAGACATGAACAAATCCATAATATACAAACTACATGTATTTTAAACCGGTCAGCAGGGTTGGGATGCTCACTCCCCAATGGCACCTGGCCTGTGGGCCATAAAAATTAGACGAGCTCACTTTTGATCTCAGTCTCACTTTCCCACTATATATTCCTTTGGTTAAAAAGAGACTGAGATCAAAAGTGAGCTCGTTTAAAGTTTTATGGCCCCCAGGCCTGATCTGAGTTACGCGAAAAACGAATTTCTCCGCCAGACATTAATGTTAAAATATGCTCAATTTGAAGCCATTTCTGAGAAAAATTGTTCTATTGACTTGTCTACAGTGAAATTAAATTAATAGTAAGGAATGAAGCTTATCTTACCCTACAGTTTAACCTTCGCTGTTTATAAAGCTTAAACTGCTCCAAGTTATGCTTTTTCGTATAACACAGTTTAAAATAAACTTCATTTTCAAATTTTTGAAAATGGAAAATTTACACTTACAATCAAAAACTTTTGTAGCAGTAATGTGAAGTTTGAACTTAGCATTTTGTGTCGATTTTCTCCCACGCTTCTCAAAAAATATGTACATGTAGTCGTCCTGAGAGCCACAAAATTTTTTGTAGACATTTTCCCCGCAACTAACACTCTGCAAAACAAATTCAATCAATCATCAACCAATAATTTATTTTTCTCTTTAAAAAACTCAGCACAGTTAAGGTTACAGTAAGGAGGCAGGGCCTAATTTTTACGGGAAATGTTTACTATGACGTCACACATAATATAAGGTCTTCAAAATACCACAAAATGAAATAATTATTTGCTATTTCATAAGCTAGATAGCTGTATACTATATACAAACTTACTAATACATGCAGTTTTGTCGTTTCTTTAATCCCACACAATAGTATTTAAACGATGCATCGATCGCAATGCACTTGTCACTGTGACATCATCTCGCAAAAATGACGCAATTTGTACACAGTGAGAGGCTGATCATGTCACATTTTGTACAATGAATAATGTCTTTTGTTCTCAAATAAAATATTATTTGCAGTTAAATGAAAGGCAGTTAACTTGGATGCGATTTCTATTTTAGTATTTTATTTATAAACTGTATTAACATTCGCCAGACAAGCGATACTGTTGTGCGTTTGTATGCAGATTTATTGAAAAGGTAATGGAAGGGCCCTAATAAATCGATTTATTGCAAGGGCATACCCTTAATGTATCTTGTCAAGTTTTTACACATGAACTCAAGAAGCATTAAGATATTTGAAAGGCTATATTTAATGTAGTTCGCCAGCAAAATATTCAACCTGCCCTCCAACAATTTAAATTTTAGCAATTAAAAAAGGGAATCTATATAGGATCGCAGCACTTTTCACAAACTACATATAGTGTTTTAAAGGATTATAAATTAAACTAAAATTTTCAACATGGTTATGCCCTTGCAATATTGAAATTTATAGATGACCTCTAAACTGCAAGTATAAATGCTAAAATCATGTGACGTCGACACCACGTGACAAGTCTAAATAAAAAATCTAAATGTCCTCAACCTGCTGATTTAAACCACATTGCATTTTTTTTTATATCAGTGAAGTCCTAAAAAGAATCGCCCATCCCAATAAAGCATGTATTTTTTATCTTAAAAAATCGCCGTTATTTCCATTTGTAACCTTAACTGTGCTGCGAAGTTACATTACCGCTACATTGCCTTTTTAATTAGTCAACATCTTATATGTACACAGGGTGATTAAGACTTAAGATGTTTTATTTCAATTCAATTTTTATTACAGTACAGTCCCCGAGTGAACCTACCTGTAGTGTTCGGCCACCATAGGAAGATTTATAATCCAATCTCACAGAACAGTAGGGGTCATTGAAATATATTGGTGTAACACAGATTTCATATTCATCCAAGATGTTATATCCTCTTCCATTAAATGACATGTAATCACACCAAGTCGAAACCTTTTCCCCTTTATATTCAACGTAAATTTGCCTATTCTCACTGACGTCATCCAAAGAAACGGAGCAATCCTCTCCAAATTCATCTGTGTAAGATTTCAGCAATTAAAAATATGTAAATATTCAGCAAAATGTTAGCGATTTCAAAGGCCCTCTGTTGCTTTGCCTCAATTCCCTTAGTGCACTTTCTAACACATAATTTCATTAAATTTTATAAAAATGTTTCGTTTTCTATATATAATTCTATTATAGTCATCAAGTACGGGAAAAATGACAAGAACTCAATTATTACATCATAATGGATCCAGTACCAATCTTAATTCATTTACTCCATGTACATCTTGGAAAAAATGAAGTCGAAAAAAAAAAATTCAGATAAGACTTACATGTGACAGTTAAAGTTCCTTCTGTGAAAATTATAGCAGTCCATAGAATTGATAATAATTGAAGAAATCTGTGAATGGATATCATCCTCTATCTACAATTTTCAACATGAAAAATGGAAATTATCATTAGTATTCTGGTCTAATGTTATTCTTACATATATATCATTTCAGCTTTTAAGAATGCCTACCTGATAAACTTCTATCAATTCTTGGCTAATTTCACTCATTTATGATATCCAATATACATGTTTAGTCTTGTACATCTTTGGTTCAATTTACATCATTTCAAAAAAAAACTATTGTAAAGATCTTTTAGCATTATTTTAGATATAGATGACTTAAGGGGGGACCTATGTCCGAAAAGTCTTTGTGTGAAATTTTCAAAACTTTGACATTTCTTTCCTGACCACTTGCTCATAATTTTTAGGTATTAAAAACAATACCTTTATATGCTTATTTTTTGCAAAAACAGTGTGAAATGCTAAAAATAGATTAAAATTTTTGGCAAATATGCGCTAAAAAGAGAAATGTCAAATCATATTTAAAATCAACACTTATTTAATTTATATGACTTGTATCTTTAAAATTGGCAAATTCATTGAAATCCATCTCGCATGAAAAATTATAATGGAGCACAATGTAAGTACTACCCCATTTTTCTTGGGGTATTTTTATAATTCCGACATGCATAACAGGTAATACTTAAAAATTGTGTGAAAATTTTGTAATTCATATTTTTTGAAAGAAATGATTCATCTCTTTATTTCAACAAAGAAAAGAGTATGCCTTTATGATAAAATAAACGAGAAATATGACGTTTCCTTTTATTTTTGTACTCTTGTGTCATAAATATTGACCTTTTGCACAAAGCACTGACAAACACTTAAATATAAAACTATTTTGCAGAAAACGAGTATTTTGTTTTGATTAGAAACAATTTAAATAGATAATTTTTTTTCTACATTCCTTTCCCCGTCAACAACCAATGCCTATTAAAACCTAGGAATGACTTTATACAATAAAATCTACATGTACTATATAAATCAATAAGCAAATATACACCCTTTTACATTTTTAAATTTTTTTTTAGTTTTCTCCAGAAAATCGATTAATGGTAATTATAAAATTAAACATTTTCCCCTGATTTAAGCCACTTTCTTTCCAGAATTTTATCTCTTTTTTGCACTATTATATCAGCATATTATCAGGGTATTTTTTCGTAACAGAAATTGCTATGAATTATCAACCAAAGGAAGAGAATTCTAATATTAACAAACTCCATAAATCAAATAAAACAGAGATTAATTAAGAAATAAACAACGTTATTCAGTGAACATGGCGTTATGAATAGCAATTGCTCTGCTGGCATATTCCATGATGCGCGCTAGCGCATCTTGGAAAATATGCCAGCAGAGCTATTGCTATTCATAATGCCATGTTCACTGAATAATCGTTGTTTATTACTTATATTTGCATTCTTTGATTTTTTTTTTCAAGAATATCAAAAAATTACAAATGGACGCAGCTTCTTGTCTTTAGTGAAGAAAAACATACGGCTTTAAAATCAGTAAACCTGATTAATGCTCCTTTTCTCTAATAAATCACAAACATATTTATAAAGTATTTCCCTCTCAAACACAGTTATCTGGATACAAGCAGCGCCGTCATCACATTTTTGTTTTGATGCAGTTGTGACGTCATCGATCAACGTTATTTAAACCCTCTGACAAAAATCAATAATTTAACACTATGATGAAAACTGAGAATGCTTTTATAATGATTATTACTCCAGAATGCTTTTCTATAATTTTTTTTTAGTTTATCTATTTATTTATTTTTAAGAGCTGAAATCATTCTTGAAATAGACACACTAATTAAAGAAATTTTCTCTTTCTGAATGTTATTACCCAAGTGTGAAGAGTTATCGTTCTTTGTTCAAATTTGCATGATACAAAAAATAAAAATATGGTAGTTCTTACAATTTTTAAAAAGTTTTATTTTACAATTAAATGCATTCACCAAAATTGAATTTTTAAAGATATAAATCAGCAATTTTAAATATTCTGAATCTCCTTTTTTTTAAAGAATATTATTAAAAACTTATTTTTATTCCCCTTGTAAAACATTTCATATATATACTTCTCAACACAGAACGTAAATGTAGTACTTATAGATTGTTCTACACGAGTGTGATAGAGCAATTGCACTCATAATAGAAGCAGTTGCGTCTATAGTCCTATGAACGCAGTTGATGACTACATGTTCATAGTGGGAGAGAGCAGTGGATATGCAAATATTGATGAATAAATTTTCCTTTTTGTAAATTTTGTACGTAATTGATTATCAACAATGTTATGCCTATATCACAGTTGCAAAAGTCAACAGGTAAAAACAAATGTCGCTATTGTGACGTCACATAACGCTGCCTTGACGTAGAACGACATAATAATTTAGTGCCAGAATACTTAATGGACATCCTTCCAAATATGCGCTGTAACACATCTATCTACTCGACAAGAAATTCTCAAAATTATGATATTCCAAAGTGTCGATTACAAACTTATAAGTCTACGTTTATATAAAAATGGAATCCATTCCACTTGAAACTCGAAATTTACAGTCAATGTCAAAATTCAAATCTAAAATTAGTAATAAAAAATCTATCTGCCCCACCTTCTTAACTTTGATTACGGTAACAGAAGACTTAATGTTCTTCAAACCAGACTACGACATAATTGTGTATTAAATAACGACCTTTATAGATGCAATTTAATATCAAGTCCCTTGTGCACATGCGGTAAAGTTGAGGACACATATCATTATTTTTTCGTATGTCCAAAGACAGAAATGAATTTTTAAATAAAAATTTGATAAAATTACTAGATTGCTTAAAATTATGCTGCAGAGAATGAACGTCTTTTTCTTTTGTTCAAACATTTATTAAGCATTCTGGTAGATTTCCTTGTTAATTACTGTACCTATATATTAATATATGAATTTGTTCAACTTTTATATATTTATACAAATATGCAAAATGCATCAATTTGTTTACTTTTGCAAATTCTGAATCCTTTATATAGCAAAATAATATCAATGTGTAATTTACATGTATAGGGAGAGGGCGTTATAAGTATTCAGTACTTGTGCTCAATCCCTTTGTAATTATATTACTATAAAATATGTTCAAATCAATCAACGACATAGGTCTCCCCTTAACAACATATTTAATTAACCTTTTCAGTGGCAGATCCAGGATTCAAAGGGGCCGCCCGACCAGTTTGAGGTTCGTTTAGGACAAACAGACATTTAATTATCATAATTTTTAACAAAATACCTGTATCTTTTTTCCGCTGACTTCAAATTGAAATTCTTCTATTTGAAATCAGTTTGTGTAGAGATCTTTTCCAGTCGTTGTTATCTAAACGATGCTTTTCGCTTTATTTTTCCTCACAAACTTTACTTACAGTTTCGTCTTTTTGGAGGTACAATCGCACCTTAACGCTACAGAGGGAATGAAACTAAAAAAAAATAAAATTGAAAGTAAGATGCATAGACTATAGTTTGCATAGGCGTCGGAAACATTTTTACTAAAAATACGAACTCAAAAAATTTATAACTGTAATGGCTGACCATATTTTGCCCGACCTAAATACTGCATCAAAAGAATAACTTTGAATGATACATGTTCAAGCCTGTAATTTTTGTAACAACAAATGTATAGAAATATGTAGCCAAATATGGAGTTCTTAGATTTTGAAAGAAATAAAAGTTATAGGTCAAATCAATTACCTACTTACTGTAGTAAGACGTCCGATGTTCCTTAATCATTAATGCATAATGCGTATACGTATGGCGGACCGTTCTTGTCTAATACTGCTAAAAATGTGAGGTTTAGCACCATGGACATATATACATAAACTTAAATATGACAAAATAATTAATCGTTATTGAAAGTACACAAAATCAACACACCCAAAATAAACAAGGATTACAAACAAATGTAAACAAAAACATGGATAAGAACAATGTAAAGACAAATTTTCAAAAGGCATTATCAACGTTTTAGTCATCAGTGCATTCAGTATTGTATATAAAAATATAATATACTAAATCTTAATTTAAATTTAGTACTCACTTAACATAAAGGGGAAAAAACAGAATTCAAAGTATTAATAATTTTCTTCAATTAAATTACAGACTTTCTAACTAAAGACATGTTATTAATAAAATTACAATTACTTTGCAAAATTATTACATTTTTCTGAAAATTTTGTCAATGAATATACAGAACATCTAAGGGCAACCTTTGCATAAACAATGCAAGATATAATAATTATGCTATAAGCATTGCGTATCTTTGCTGTGTAAATTGTAACTTTTATTTACAACATGTATACAAGAACTGACCAGGATTACTTTGATACAGTTACCTACACACTGCATGGCTTATGATATTTGATTAAAAGTGGTTAATTTTAAGAGCAAAACTCCTGAAATTCAATATTTTCTTGAATTGAAGCTAGGTAAGCTGAACATCCTAAAGAGCTATTTCTGTTGAACATTTTTACTTCATAAATAAAACTTGTACTTACTATAACTTTTTTGAGTTTTTCAAATGCAAAATTTATTGATAAAAATCTGTTTATATGTTATCAACAATAATTATCAATTTGAATCTGTTTTCTTTTCTAATGTTAAGGGAGCTTTTTTAATTGAAATAATTATCTCCATTGGCTTTGTCCTCTAAATCATAAATTGAATACCTCCTTAGAGGAGTTTTGTTTTGATTGTAATTTACAGATGTGATTTGTAGGGCAATTATCTCTGCCCAACAAGAGAGAACTCACAAAATTTAGGTAATTATAAGTTTTAAACCGAAAAAAATCAAATTTTACATATTAATGTTTACAAGAAACTAGATTATTATTATCATTTATATAGTTTATCCTATTACAAGTGATTGAAAAAAAATTATTAAAGACAAGACATAACATTCATGTATAGAGCTCTGGATACATATGCGCAAGATGGATTCAAACATAATGCAGTCTTAACCTTACGGTCATAATCACAATGTTTCGTCTGTGGAATTTTAAACATGTGAATGACTATTGAATTATTCTTAAATCTAGGGATATATCAAATTAGATACCTATAGTACGCACGACTTGCGATTCGTATGAATCACATACATGTATGTAGATTTTCATACCTAACTTGACTAAAATCTAGGTGCTCTTCTACTTATTACAAATGTAATTAGAGATTTTCATTCCTTATGTATAAACTATGTCATATTCAGTAAAAGAATAATTATACACAATTATAATTTCACATTCTTCACTAATTCTAAAAGAGCAACAAAAATACACAATCGATAAAAATTCTCAATAAATACTAAACGTTTGATTTCCCGATATTTATTTTCCTAAACCGACCTTTTATTCGAATTGAAGGAAAAGGAATTATTTTTGTTTTATTATTTTTCCATCTTTAGTCCCACAGTGTTTGTATTTGTTTGTTTCTAAAGAATTTTTCCTATAACTATGTATATATTTCTTGGTAGATCTAGAGTAAATTTCAAACGTTGATAATTTAGTGGAAGGGTTTGTGAAGAATAACTTCAAGGATTCAGAATGGTACAATGTATATAAACAACGTACACGAAGGATGGAGGATGATTAGAGTCGTCTGTGTTTTTCAAACCTGAAAGGAAAGTTAACTTTTGGGTTGATTTGCATTAGACGTTTATAATTATCATCTACTACTTAAGAACTCAAAGTTGAGTTCTTCCTCTTACATTTTTTCGCCTTTTTCATTCACAGAAATTAAGCAAAGACGTATAGTTTGAACGTTTTATTTCCTTTCATACACTTAATATACATAATTTCAATAATAAATGAAAATGGCTGGTAAAAATTAAATTAAGTTTCACCAATAAAGCGTTCGAAGGGACCAAAAGTCATTTGTTTTGAATCATATAATTAAAAACCAAACAAAAAAGGGGCCATGCATGTTGAACAGCAAAGTTTACATGTTTTATATAATACTTCCAACAATGAACTACTGTAATTTATCTATCGAATATTACCAAGATCTCGTCACAGCTTGTAAAAATATCGAAGTAGAATATTTTTCCCAGCAACATTTCTTCAATTACAACTGTAATAGAAGATTTGAGACAAATCTCTTGATTTTCTTTTCCTTCATGAAGAGTGCAGTACAAAAGAACTTTTTATGATAAAGAACAGAGTAAGAAAGAGAAAGTAAATATACCATCACGACAGAGACTAAAATTGCAGAAAAGTATTCCAAATATTTGGGAAGACCCTTTTTCGCAAAGTTTTCAGCCTCAAAATCGTTGAACTATAACGATGAAATTATATTTTGCACATTCCAAGCATCAATTAATCTGTGTTAATGCCCTCCTGATATGTACCTAAAATATCTCAGTTGATCTAAAATTTAAGATCTGACTTATAATGTGGTTCTAGACACAGATTATGTAGTTCTACCTATCGTCGAATACATCAAATCGAAAATAAAGTTTCACTGATTAAATCAACTGATGATAAACAATTTGAATCGAAGGCACATGTTCATGTACATAGGAAAAGTTGACTTTCATTGCGGTCTCTAAACTAGTCTGAATGGCTGTTTATTCCTCCGTTTTCCATCTTTTATTTACATAATTCATAACCAACTAGTTAATGAATTAGGTCGTCATGGTTAGTTTAAAATACAGATATATATTCGATATCTTACCATTTCAACAGACTAGTATGAGGTACTACCACAAAATCGAACATATTGAAGTACTTCATTTCATTACTTCATCATAGCTAGGGGGAGGGGCTGATGCTTGTTTTCCTGGTTTTTGCCATACACTTGCTTCTGCCGGCTGATAATGATGGTGTGTATACTGATGTTCTTCTGTATTACACTGAAGCTGCGCACTATACCCAGGTTGAGTATCATACTGAGATTGCGTATTATACTGAGATTGCATATTATACTCAGAGTGGGTATTGTACTCTGGCTGTGTATAATACTCGGGTTGTGTATTGTATTGAGCTGAACTTGGCGCTGTATAGTTTTCTGGTGGATAGGCAATTACACTTCCATTGTTAGGAAGCTGTGCATAATACGACGACGCAGAGGGATAAGTCTGTTGGTTTACCAAGGGAACTATAAATGTAAAAGAAAAAAAATAAATTTTAGATCAACATTAACCTAAAATTAAACTTCTAAATTATGTTTTGGACCTGAAATATTAGGTCAATTACAAAATATATATATCTAAGATATCTCATATTCTTTGCATACCTGAAGTTGTCTGCGTTGGCCTTAAAACTTGGCCTTGCGTTGACTTCCGCTTGCAACAGCAGCAGATGGCAACCAAAAATAGAATTGAAAAGAAGGACACCGCAACCACAATAAGCGCTGGAGGAACAAATCAGTAAGAATTTCAAAAACAGTATTGTTAAATGAGGGAAAAAATTATATTGCACTTGTACGTGTTTTAACAACACTCACGGAAATTCAAACCGCCCACATCAGCAGAAACTTTAGGAATAAATGAAATTGCCAAAAATATGACAAACAAATGGAGGGTCATCTTTTAAAGCTGTAAATTGAAAAAAATATAATATGAAAATAGAGTGCTTTCATGAAGTAGATCCATATATATATCGGCTTAACAGAAAAACATAGAAAAACATTGGTAAGGCTATAACAGGTAAAGAACCAATATTTTTGGACAGTTTTAACAATGGAGTTTTTAATAACAGCGTTTTTTTTTTTTCTTTTTTTTTTCTTTTGTTCATTTCTTCAAATAATAGCCAGCCTGGTTTAATATAAAATTCCGATCAAATAACTTTCTCTTTGCAAGGCTATTTTTAGATAATGTCCATCAACATTAAGGACAGACGAGACGTTCCTTAATAATAGATAAATTTTTCTAAGAGTTTGTCATTGAAGTATTGCTACTTAAACATGTTTACTCACAAAAAATTGAGGTACCTTACCAGGCATTTCTTCAAGATACATATACCAGGGGTAATTTTTCTTATATAATCCAATGGGGGAGAAAAATAATTTTCCAATTTCAAACGTTTAAGTGTTTGGATTTTATAAAAACGTTAAGAAACTGGTTTAGAGATCAGAATGTTATTGAAATTTTGAATATTTTTCATACATTACGAAGATACACAAAACAGATTTTGAGGAACGTCTCGTCTGACCTTAAGATTACATGTACATACATGTATACTGACATTATATATGACACTAAACCAGTTAGAAATACGCTCAAACTGGAATTTAAATCATTTTTTAATAGTTTCATTGTTAGTTTGTATGTTTTTAATGTTAAATCGAGATTTTTAAAAATTCATGTTATGATGCCAACATTTTTCAGTTGATGGTTGCAAATTTTATTTACCCATGTGTTACTTTAAAGGAACATTGACACAGTTCAGCTAAAACTTTTCAATATTTTCCCATTCTTTTTCATATTTACAAATATTTAACCGACGTATTTCTAATGATCATCAAAAATTTAAATTCAGTTGTCGAGATACAAGACAGATTTAAAAGAGTTCCAAACTATTGTTACGTAAACAGGACCTGTGCCATGTTTCTGTTAACATAGGTTTAATATACGTATAATTATGTTCCTTCAACGCAGATTTAAAAAAAGAAAAAGAAAGAAGTTAATTCTAAATACAATTAGCCACTTTTTGGTGATTTGCTGAATCTCATTTTGTTTTTATGATATTTTCTATATGTAAACAAGAACAAGGCACAAGCCCTGTTTACATTATGAAGGATTTTAAGTTCTGTATCTCCTTTGTAAATCGACAAATGATGTTCAAAAGTTTGATTATCATTAGAATTGCTACAATTAGGAATTGTAAACATTAAAATTGGTTTCCAAAAATCAGTTGAAAATGAGTCCATGTGCCATTAAGTTGTATAAAAAAGCCGTATTTATCTATTAGACAATAAGATCATATCTACGAAAGGTTTGTATATATATTTTTTAAAACAAAACAGATGAACTCTTTCTCTGTGATATATTAATTCCATATATAAAATATATTATGATGTTATTAGAGCTTCGGAACAAAACAGTAGGCTAGCTAAGAATAATATTCAACGAAAACTGTGATTTATTACACTTATGGATCCCCTTACTTCTTGACCTCCACTTGCACCCAGAAAATCCGTCCCTATATAAATACGCAGTGGATTATTAGAGAAATATTATTATCAAGGAATGTCTGCGTAAAAAAGAATAATTTAGTATAGATCACTAATGAGATATACATCAGTATGACTGACTGATAAACTTACTATGTCAATGCGTTTGATAGTCCACAAAAAAGAGAAATATGTACATGCTACGCTTACAATGCTTGACCAGGTAATTATATACAAATGTAAAACCTGACCTGACCTTTTTAGCTTGGTTCAACGTGTATGACTTGCTCTAAAACCTATGTCCTGTCTTCAGACACGTTTAAATGTAACCTCAATTGAGAGATTTTTTTTCTCATAAAATGATGTTCTTTTTTATATAATTATAGTTTTGATATATTCACTTGAAAGCTTGTAAACATATGGCAGAAAGATGAACGGTATATTTGTAAGTATATTTATGTACCTGTTATTATAAAAAGAACATAATTTTATTAGGAAGGATATAAACTACATTTTCATTTTTTTTTTGTCAGTATATGCTTGCACATGTGCAATAATTATACAATTTGAATATGTCAAGGAGTTTAATCATAACATCTGTCAGCAAGCATCGAGCATTTAGTTAAAAAATGTGGAAAGTGGCATAGAAATAGATTTGGTTCAAACTCATATATAAATTTTCAGAACAAAGGGTATGATAGAAAAAAGCAAGCAAAAAATAATTTTTTGCATTGTTGCTATGGAAACCACGCGCCTTTCAGATAGCGTGTTTTGTACTTTATCATGACACTTGAATTTATGGTTAAACAAATACTTTTTTATTACTAGTCATTAAAAAAGCTTTTTAAATTATTATTTTATTTATATAAATATACTCTATTTAAAAACTGTTGATTATTGTAATTCTCTTCACCTTTTAAAAATTTTACCTATTTTAGGAGGTTTATTTTGCTTTAAAAAACAGCAAATTTGACGTACTCTATAAGAAATCTACAACCTCATTAAAGCTTATTAACATAAAATATTTATTAAACAGTATTTGTTCTAGAAGAATCAAGAAAAAAATCTGCAGGCAAGTAAAGCATTTATATATGATAACTGATTTAAGGTTGGTCCGTACTTTCAAAAAATTTCTGTCAAACTAATAATTTTTTTATTTAAATATCTTAAGTAACTCATAAACTAACTAAAACACCCATAAAAGACACATCTTTGCAGGTTAATTTTCATACAACATGTCTCAGAGTACCTACCTCCTAAAGTTGATCAGCCAAAAGTGAACATAAAGAAGTCTGATATCATATTTTATATATACCAATTTTCGCATCAAATTAATGTTAAATCTTGTGAAAATCAAAAATAATTAATATTTTTTGAACTTTTCTATGAAAAACATTAAAAAATTGATTGATGTTGAATCTGTTCACGTCTATCAGAAAAAAATCTCAAAATCTTTTTATTTTTAAAAATCTCAAAATCTAAGTTGTTTATGTGCCATTTTTTCTTTAAATCTATTAAGAATTATATTTCAGGTTTACAAAAATACATATTTTATTATTGTTGATTAGAAAAATTTAACAAAACAGCCTTTTAAAAATTTTACCCCCTATTTCGGAATATCAAGTTTTTTCATTCTTTGCATAATTTAAAAAAAGGGAAAATTTAAACAGGAGATACATGCTTAAAATAAATGAAAAAAGATCTCTAGTTAGTTTGTTAAAAAAAATTAAAAAAAGTTTTAGGTCCATAGGGGCAATTAAGAATGATGCTTCTTTGTTTGTACTTAATGACATATAGATCCTATGAACAGAGTACAAAGTGTTAATTTCCACTACAAATGTATATCAAATGCTTTGTATACACAAAAACACTGTAGTAAACAAATATATACTTTACATTATTATCAATCATCAAAAAAGATTTTATTTCTTTTGACAAGTGATAATAAGAATTTTGTATTGGTGTGTAAAATTAAAACCGGATCCGTAAAAGTATGGACCGTCCTTAAATTCATAATTTTCTCCCACTTTTGCTTCAAATTACCTCCCTTTGGTATAGCTCTCTAACATAGGAGGAATAAATGGTAGTTTTCTTACATTGTTTTCAATAATAATTTACAGAAGACTAGCAGAAAATTACAAACTTGGAGCAGTCTGAGCCTCAGTTTCGGCGTTTTTATGGGTTTTAATTATGGTGAGTGATTGGATTTTTTTTTCAATTTACCATTACAACAGATACTGAAGAATGTATAGCAAAAATTAATCATGAAGTAAAATATGTAATACTTGGCAAGTGTTTTTACACATTTTTATTTAATTCTGATTGATTATATATGTTAGCATTATTTTAGTATTTTATAACTAAAAAGAAAAGATTATGTATGAACTGGGGAACCAGGAGGAGAGGGTATGCCCCCCCCCATAATATTGCCGATATTACACTATAATATGAGCAAATGAAATTAAATCATTCTAACTTAGATTTTTTGCCTAACGTGAAAAAGTTGGTCATGATCAGTTACATAACTGTATCCCAAATTATAAAGTTTAATTTGAATTTAGTTTAATTTTGATTTGTTGTATTCACAGCATCAACCAAGTCATTCACCAGCTATAATGATTATAATTGATAGTATGGTAAATAAAAGTATAGTAGATATCTTTATTTACCATTTAAGGTAGGACAAAACACCCGTGGATTTTATTTTAACCCATTTCTAAAAAAATTATTAGAGAAAAAAAGAATAATATAACTTTGTTAACAACAATGAATGATCCCTGGAAGCAAAATAATAAGTTTTTGCATGTTTGCATAATATTTTGTGAAAAAATCAGAGAAGGCTATATTTCAGACTATGTGGACAAAAAATGTACATTTTGGAATGTGTTTCATATCATATATAAAGAGAGATTTTATAATCCTAGAACAAATATATCATTTATTTAATTTAGAAAAATTGAATTTGAGGAAAAATTTGGCCTATCTATTGTGTCCTACCTTAAGATAAAACCTGCTTTTTACATAAAAAAATTATGAATTTATGATAATCAACACTATTATGAAATATTTGTAAAATGGAATGACCTTTGTTATGGCGTCCGTAAAAAAATGAAAAGGGGACAGGGGGTTAACTCTGTACTTAGTATATTTTAGTTTAGGAAAGGAGATTACCTTGGCAGTATTGTGATACAGACAACTGTATTGTGTAGTGGACTTGTAAATATACCACAGTAAAATAATGAATTAAAAAAAAAACAAACTTTTTGCTGATGTCATCCAGTGTTTACTGATAAGAGAAAATTCATATTCAGCTAACATTTTCTCCGGTACCACTGAACTAATTTAAGTCAATTAAGGTTCAAATAATAAGCATCATTAGATCTAAAGGACATAAATTTATGAAATGAATATCTA